AGTACAGGCATCGCAGAATGGTTATTTTAAAAACCACACATTAGGTCAGGGCTACTCAACTTTGCAAGCCCCGGAGCCCACAATAATACTCACAGCTCATCCCGAGGGCTGCAACTTAAGTGTGATTGCATATACATGCAAACATATATGCAAATATATGCAAATGTATCTTTTCACACAATGCCCTGGCACTCCCAACACCTCCTCTCTGGGAGCTAGAAATGCCGACGTCCTGTACCCTGTTCCAGCCAGCCCGTCTGCTTGCGTCTTTCAATGCTCACCCCACCTGGGAGATGCCATGTCCAAAGGATCCCACCTGTGGGCCGCATGTGGAGCCCTGCGTAAATCCAAACCGCACCGCGGGCCACAGGCCATATGCAGCCCACGGGCCCCGCCTTCGTTAGCCCTGCATTAGGTATAGTTATCCTCCCCCTGCCTCCCTTCTTTGGCATTCCAGTTCAGTCCGTCACCCAGCTGTGCACTGGTATTCAAGGCACAATCCTGTCTCGCCTGTAGAAGTTGCACTAGGTGTTGCAACAGCCCTCGGTTCCACGTTCCCCTTCACAAGAACCATCCTCGCGATGCCGGACAGGATGCCTGCCTCGTCACGACTGGCAGCGACACACCCATCATCATGCCTTGGAAAAGGCCACAGCAGCTGTGGGCTGCATATGGTGGGAAATAAACACACACAAGGGAGCACCTTGATGGGCACCTCGCATTGCTCCCGCCGGAACGCCTTGCCCCGAGAGGCTGACGCACCCCGGTGAGAACGTTGCCAAGTCTCCTTCCCCTCGGCACTTGATTTAGCCCAGTATATAGGCCAAGGTTGAGCTACTAGAAAAAATAGGAAAAACAATTTCCCTAGGAGGGTGGTGAAGCACTGAGATGGGTTTCCTAGGGTGGGGGTGGAGTCTCCAGCCCTGGAAGTGTATAAGTCCCAGCTGGACAACGCCCTGGCTGGGATGATTGAGTTGGGGTTGGTCTTGCTTCGGGCAGTGGGATGGACTCGACGTCTCTGCCTGCCCTAAGATCCTATGAGTCTACTATCCTGCTGGACGCAAAGCAAACAAGATTAAAGTATAAGATTTGCTAGTCTCTTCCCTGCCGTTGCAAGTTGGGCTGTTCCTGTCCCTAGCCAACCACAGTTTGGGAACATTGCACAAGCAAAAGGGTAAGACGCGGCATTCCAACCAAAGGGAGAAGGAAACGATTTTATCTGCAAAGTTGTCACAGCCATACAAGAAATTCTTCCAAGAGGCACTGCCAACACAGAGCAGTGAGTCGGCCACAGTAATGGGTGATCAACCATGAATGACTACTGATGACAGATACTTTTCACATAGTATAGTGTATTCCCAGCGGCCCATTTCTGAAGAATCCGCTGAATTGACAGGAGTTTAAAACTAGAGTATTTCCAACACATGTGAACAGGTGGAGCAAGTCTCCAGTGGTTGGGGGGAGGTGATGGGGGGAGATAAATGCAAGACTATCGACAGGAAAGGTTGACTGCTCCCATAGGTTTATTGTGTATTCAATGTAGATGCCACTCTTCACACATATAAAAGTGCTTCACGTAGAGAACAGCCAGCTATAGGCAGCATGGCAACACATTTAAGGGGAAACCCAAAGCAAGGACTGGATTGCTTGCCGGTCATTAGAAGAGAATACCATCAAGGGATGAAACTTACAACACGGAAGGGGTAATCGGTCCCCATGTTCCCTGTACATTGGGGGCTTCTGTGGCCACACTGGAGACATTCCAATGCCGCCCAGCTGATCAACAGAACCAGATTTTTTGTTTCTATTGGTGGTGCACATTGACCCGTGCTTGGGTACACAAAGAAATTTATTCCGCATGTAGATGGAAAAGATTAGAGGGAACATTGGGTGAGCACCGAAAGAGGCCACGGGGTACATCCGATCACCATAGGCTGAACGTTCACGGGGCACTAACAACACTCCGCAGGGTGATTGCTCATCAGGCTCGAAGGCTAGGTAATAAAACGCTTACAATAAATCTCCAGTTTCAGCGGGTGCTGCCAGAGCACAAACGAAAGGCCTAAGCAGTGTGATGTGAAAGTGACAAGCAGAACGTCAAACAGATGGGAGAAGGCGAGCAGAAGCTGTTGGGGGGGATGACAAACAGGCTGTTAAAAAGGCCGGGTGATCTCTCCTCCGACGATGTTGCTGTGAAGATTTGGCAGCAGGAAGTTAAGTCATCAAGAGCTGGTGACAGAACTAGAGAGAGTCCAAAGAAAGACTCAGAAATACCCAAGGTTTTCATTACGGAGACTGGGTCAATTTCTACTCTCCATTCTGTCTATGGGAAGGTTGAAGTCAACCCTGTTTAAATAGGGCCAGAGTCCACGTGGAGGTGGGATCCTTCGGTCTCAGGAAGGGAGCCTCAGCTGTGGGCAAGTCAGAGGAGACGACACCCATCCTGTTGTCCCGCTGTAATGGATCCATGTCGCCAGGGGAAAAGGACCACATTCATCTTCAGAAATAACCATTTATAGAATCCACAGAAAAGGTTTTATTGCCTGAATTTAACACGGAAGAGAACAAAAAGCAAAGACCTAACGTAGCATAAAGCAAAGACATAACAAATGTAAGTGTTATTGCCCTCTTTACACTGGGGGAATGTCTAGAGTACATGCCTCTGCCGACAGAAGCATGTAAATTAGACTACCCGACATAGTCAATTAAGTGGGGATTTAAATACTCCCACTTCATTAAAATAAAAATGGCCGCCACGCTGTGCCGGCTCAGCTGATTGTCGGCACAGCACGTGAGTCAAGACGCGGATCGGTCGACAGGGAACACCTTTGTCGACTGCTCCCTTACGTCTTGTGAAACGAGGTTTACAGGAGCGGTCGACAAAGGCATTTCCTGTCAACTGATCCGTGTCTTGACTGCTGTGCTTGATCCGTGTCTTGACTGCTGTGCTGTGCCGATGATCAGCTGAGCCAGCACAGCGCGGCAGCCATTTTTATTTTAATGAAGCGGGGAATATTTAAATTCCCGCTCCATTGACTATGTCAGGTAGTCTAATTTACATGCCTCTGTCGGCAGAGGCACGTAGTCTAGATATGCCCTTGGAGAGCACCTCCAAAGAAACCTACTGAACTTAGAAGAACGACAGAGGCTCCCTAACAAAACACTGCCCCATCTGTGCACTTCTTAGCGTGCCTGACACAACCCCTGGAGCCTTGTGAAACAAACAAAAGGAAGTATTTCTTCACGCAGTGCACAGTCAACCCATGGAACTCCTTGCCAGAGGATGTTGTGAAAGCCAGAAATTTACCAGGGTTCAAAAAAGAATTAGATACATTCATGGAGGTTAGGTCCATCGATGGCTATTAGCCAAGATGGGCAGAGATGGTGTCCCTGGCCTCTGTTTCTCAGAGGCTGGGAATGGGTGACAGGGGAGGGATCATGTGATGATTCCCTGTTGTGTTCCCTCCTTCTGGGGCACCTGGCATTGGCCACTGTGGGCAGGCAGGACACTGGGCTGGATGAACCTTTGATCTGACCCAGCCTGGCCACTCTTATGTGAACTGGGCACTGGAGCTGCAAGGCACAAAGTGTTAAGGGCACGTGGCTGTGAAAAAGGAGCAGGTTGGGTGTGTAGCCACCCCAACCTCCCCGAGGCCTTTCTTAAAAAGGGGGCGAACACAATAGTGATGGTAAGAAACAAGCACTCCTTCCCGGGCCCAGCCAGACGATCATGATCCAAGTGACAAAGTCAACGGTGTCCTGGTGACATGACCGGGGTCAGTATATCTAACCTGTTCTTAAATATCTCCAGAGAGGGAGATTCCACCACCTCCCTTGGCAATTTATTCCAATATTTGACCACCCTGACAGTTAGGAATTTTTTCCTAATGTCCAATCTAAACCTCTCCTGCTGCACTTTAAGCCCATTACTCTTTGTCCTGTCCTCAGTAACCAAGAGGAACAAATTTTCTCCTTCTTCCTTGTGACACCCTTTTAGATATTTGAAAACCGCTATCATGTCCCCTCTTAATCTTCTTTTTTCCAAACTAAACAAGCCCAGTTCATGAAGCCTGGCTTCATAGGTCATGTTCTCTAGACCTTTAATCATTCTTGTCGCTCTTCTCTGTACCCTTTCCAATTTCTCCACATCTTTCTTGAAATGTGGCGCCCAGAACTGGACACAGTACTCCAGCTGAGGCCTAACTAGTTATATTCATCACTTTGCGTTCTTAGGCACAACCCAGCTGAGATTTGTCATTTCAGCAAAACGCGTTTCCTAGCGCGTCTCCTGTGTCGCAGCAGCGTCGCTGGACACGTCCCAGGTGGCGTTCGGGCCAAATGCATTGAGTTGCGACAGAGGTGATCTCCTGTCTATTTCTGTGGGTTAGATGCCCGTTATTAGTGTAGAAGCTATTTTATGTTTAGCTAGAAGCCATTTTGTATATTAGAAATCATTTTAGCTTTTTTTTTAAGCACGTAAACCAAAGTAAACTTTTTGTTACCCCGTGAGAAAAGGCCTACAGGATGGGTTATTGGTATGTGTTAATTGGGCTGGTTCAAAGAGAAGAGGTACTCCCTCATACCTGTCCGCCATCTTGTTAATAAGGCTTTGTTTTTCCAAATTTAATTAAAAATTTCTATAATTAAATGCCCTGACGTCAACTGTTTGGTTAAGTAAGGACGACGTAACGCATGATGAAGATCTCAGCAATGCACTCCTCATGCAGATCCGGACTAAACGGTACAAAGGACCCTTATAGCAAAAACCTGCTTGCATACAACTGGTTTATTTATTCCTAGAAGATCGACAAGAAAGATACAATTCATTAAACCGGCTTTCAAGTCTCACTCCCCTACACAAGAAAGGCACAATTCAAAAGCGCTTCCAGCCTGGGACAATGGTATCAAAGAGGTTCCTGGGAGCGAGCGTCTGGTGGAACAGCTGTGTTGTCAGAGTGCCATCGCCCCGCACGGAGGTTTGTTAAAGGAAAACGACTTACTTGTTCCAGCGGAATGACCAGGAAGGACCCGCCGCCAGCGCTCTCCGTTACTATGGCGAGGAACTTGGCATTCACCGCGCAGAAGTGGTTGTCATGCACGTTCTTGGTGATCGGGACCCCGTCAAAGCAGTGCTCTCGGTTCGCCACTTTCCCGTAGACGTTTCGAAACTTTGAACTGCGGTACTGGGGGCGCCATGACATCTGTGGAGCAAACAGAACCAAAATTGCTGTGCGGGTTCAGTCTCCGCAAGACAGGAGCGGCCGAGGCCGCACGCGACATCGACATGTAACATGCACGGTCACAGGAAAATACTCCTCGTCAGGAGGAGATCACGGTTTCAGCCTGACCCAGGTTACAAATAAACTAACACTCTAGTCCGGCAGTTTTCAGACTTTTTTTTCTCATGACCCCGTGGAAGAAAACAGTTGATTCTGTGACCCAACATCATGTGACTGGAATGTGGGCTCGGGGGTGGGGCTGAGGAGGAGCTTTGGGGCAGAGAAGGGGGGGCGCATGGGAGGGGCTTACTTCGAGTGGCTCCCAGTCAGCGGTGCAGCGGGGGGAGGGAGGGCTAAGGCAGCTTCCGGCTTCTCCTGCAAGACCATGCTGAGCCCAGGAGCAGCCAGCAGCAGCCTCCCAGCCAATGGGTGTGCGGAGCGAGTGCTCAGGGCGGGGCAGTGTGGAGCCCTGTTTGTTCCTCCCACCCTCCACTAGGGTTGCCAGATGGTTAAACCAAAAATACTGAACCCCCCCGCCCTCCCAAAACACACACACACACACACACACACACACACACACACACACACACA